TTAAATGAAATCGTAGTCAAAAGATGCTATAGACATAAGCTAGAACCCATCAATTGGTATGGTACCAGATCACTTCTACAATGGACAAAACATTGAAAAGATGATAATGGCTTGAAAAACAAATGTATTTATTAGCTGGAAGCCTTCTTATAAGGGAGGAAAATCAATAACCTCTCTCTCCCCCACCCCCTTTGTTTTCTGATAAAATAGTACTGTGAAATGTTCTGTTTCGAAAATGTTCAGCTGGAGGGAATTGCTAATCTGTCGTTCCCAGAAATGTACTTGCAGTTTTCCGCTACCTTTGAGTGTTTAGGCCTCATCATTGTTAGAACGCAAAGTGACTGCCAAGCACAGCTTCCAGTTTTGAAGTGAATTTGAAAAAGGTAAATCCCATGGCTGAGAGATGTGAAAACTACACGTTCTTGCTCATTCAGTGTACTTAACAGACTGCTCCCTGTTTTTCTCAATTGTGAATCTCATTTCTCCGCTTTTGAGAGTAGCTGTATTGATTAGAATGAATAGAATCTTTCTCTTTCTGAAGAAGGTGCCCCAAACCTTTGTTCTCTGTGGGATACAAAACTTCATCTTGTTACATGAAAAATAGATCTTGCGTAAAGTTCTATGTTCTGTGCACTGATGAGATTTTAATTTTTGTAACTGGCCACTTGGAGCAAAATGCAATTGCAGCAGGAACATATTACAACTGGTACTGGTATCTTTATTCAGTGTACATATACTCACAATTTTTTTTTTCAAGATGCTCTTGTTGCATCATTCTACATGAATGAAGAAAGATGTAATTCACAATTCTCCTTGTACCTTATTAGAGCACAGTGAATGGCCAATGAATATTCTTTCTGACATAAAATTAGTTCAGTGGAAGAGTTTTCCATTGTTCTTCCTGGATCACAAAATACAGCTAGCAAGCATTACATTCTGTAGAACGTTCTAAGATAAAAGGGGAAATAAAGCTCAGTATCAAAGGAAATTAATAACTTCCTGAAGTAGGCTAGGCATTAAATGGGAAAATTCTTAACCAGGCTTTATTGCATTTGGATGATAGAAAAGCACAAAATTTATTCACAAAGGAAAGAGATATATTGTATTTTGATTATCTTTAGTTATGGAAAAGAACCTCCAGAGACAACTATTTAATACTCTAAATGGGCGACATCTTTCTAATGAGCATGTGAGAAGCCGTGAGTATTCATGAGTATTCATCAGAGACAAAAAGAAGAAAAAAAATGTTAAGAACAGTAAGATTTTAAAGTACTACCTATTTACCCATGTGGAAATATTGGTCATCAGTAAGTAGCCACTTTGCAAAAAACTAAATGTTCAAGTGCAGGGACCCGCATTCTCCAGTGGTTAATGCAATGCAGTGTTATAAGTTGACATACATGCTCCCCCATAAATAACATATCTACAACACCTCTGCATTCACAGTCAGAAACTTAGGTGAGTAAAAACCTGTCTTTCACCTCAACAGACCACACTGTATGTGCAAACCACATTTTGAACCTACGTGAATTAACAAATGATTAATAAAAATCTACATATTATAGATATATTTTTAGACATAACGATAAAATATAGGAATAATATTCAAGCAAACAAACCAAAAAGACAGCCCAAAGCAAGAGGGAGAAATAAAAAGAAGGGAAGAACCTAGCACTGCAAAAAATAACAACTGCACTTTTATTACAAATTTCAAGAGGTCAGTTTTTTAATGTTAATAGATATTCTTAAAAAACAAACAAACAAAAAAAAAAACTTTTGGAAAACAGACTCTTCTCCAGAGGAAATGAAATCTTTGTAGTTCAGATTCTGATTTTCTACTTAACACTTACGTTGATGGACTTTTCAACAAATCCATGGGAGAATACTTTTAGAACCCTCTCAAGGTAAAAGTGGATGGTATTCTAGAGATTTATTGCCAGACTGCTGAACAGTTGGCCCCTAATACTTCATATTAGTGATTTAACTGTTTATTAAAGACAGTTAAATTATTATGTTAATTATTTTATTATGCTAAAGTTACTTGTTAACAAACTTGTAATATTTGATATAATCTATCAAATACAAATCAGGCTTTGGGAGATCTGAAACACGTTGGTTAAGTGTATCTGGTGTTTTTGGTTTTCACTGTGACTTGCAGAGAACTGTGGTGGAACTGCTGATCAAGGACAGGTCAAAAGTACTGACAGACCTCACAAACTGAGTGTTCTTCACCAGCTACCCGAATTACCTTGACAGTTTTTTCTGGTTATTTATTCTAGTAGTTGAAAATTAATGCAAAATGGTCATCTTTGGTTAACAAACATGCTCTGTGTTGCTGATGTTCTTACTTCTTGGAAAACTGGCTACTTATTACATTTTATTACAAAAAATAGCCACAGAGCTGTAGGAATTTTTTACTGGATGGTCTTAAAATCGTCCTTTCATCTCCATGTTATCAAAAGGGCACTCTGTAACAGATAAAGGGAGGTATCACCCTTAAAATAATCTTTGCTATTAATTAATCAAATATATCCATTTTGACTTTTATTCTTTTATTATGAAGTATTTTGAGGTAACCAAGAGCCTGTTTTTCATGACATAGACTTTTGTCGTGCGTTAATGAAAAGTGCCAAATAACAATGTGACTGACTTCAAGTGGAAATTACATTCTGAGTCACATCATGTCTTTTGTTAAGAAAATCTTGGTTTTGTAAGTAGGGAAGCCTACTTGCTATAAATCTTCTCCATGAGAAAAATTTCACACTAGAAAGGCTGAGAGTAGTTGATAGACTGGCCTATGTGATCATTTATGTAAGTCTAAAAGGAAACAACATGTAGTTAAAGAATGAGATTGTGAAGGTTTATTGATGCTTTAATTGTTCAAAGAAACATAAAATCGGGGATGTGAAGAAATAATGAGCGGCGAACTTGTGGGAAGAGTTTTGTTTTATTAGGATTAGTGCCCAAAAAGAATTCCAGGATTTAAAATTATTTTATTATGTATTGTTATATTTTATTTCTAAAATATATTCTTAAATGAGCATCTGATGTAAGAAGGAAACAAAATGCTGCTCTAAAATTATGAACACAAAAAACTGATCACTTGTTTTTTTTTTTTAAAAAACAAAACCAACATCAAAACCACCAATAAAAAATAACAAACCAAAAAGCAACCTTCCCTTACTCCCCCAGTCCATTTCCTTAAACTTTCATGAATTCTCACTTTGAACCCAACAAAAGATTCACAGCTCATAATCCACGTAGGAGCAGGGAATCAGTGTGTCCCTTTTGGACAGTAAAGTGCTGGAATAGACTGCACAGTCAATATATAAGGCCCACAGATGTCAGTTCCAGATCCCCAAGTGAAGCACTGCTTTCCACTATTTTCATAGTTTATGATAGGAGAGTTTATGCTCCTAATTCAGATATTCAATTAGATGCCTTGGTGCTCCTTTTTTCTCCTATATCCTAGTGTGTCCTTGAATGGGTCACATAAACCCTCTGAATTCTGGTTTTGCTACTTAAAGGCAATTCATCTTTCCAAAGTTCTTTGAGATCCTCAGAGGATTACTGAGTCTCTGATGAGCACAGATGTCACTGCAGAATACAATCTCCTATTTGACATTTGTGAGTTTTACGGTTAGTGAGTGCAACATGATATTCATAAAAAACAGAAAAATTGTGAACAGTGAATTGGTAGACTCCATGTGCAATATATACAGAAGTCATCATGAAGTTCTGTAGGTCTTTGCTGAAGGACTTTCTTTTTCTATTTCAGTTTACAGAGTGAAAAGGTTGAACTTTTTACACAGTAAGGATTTTCTTTTACTCCATCAGCAAATATATTCAGACCAGAAAAGCAGTATTAGAACAGCTGATTTAGAGCAGGTTGTAGGAATCGAGAACGTTTTTAGCAATCCTTAATGCTTTCTGACAATACCCAAGCTTCTTGGATTCTGTACATAAAGAGAGAGATATTTCAGTTCTGGTGGTAGAATACTTGAGGATCTTGTGCTGACTCAATGAAATATGTGTCAAATGCTTATGAACAATTTTTTATTTTTTTATTGGAAGCAAGCAAGCAAATGTTTGTGATCCATACTGGAAAGTGAAGGCCTGCAAGGCTGTTGGGATTTGACTGAACTTCTGACTTGTCAAGAATGGAAAAATTATAAAATGGTTTAGGTTGGAAGGGACCTTTAAGACCATCTAGTTCCAAAGGCCCCCCTTTATTCAGGGACACCTCCCTCTAGACCAGGTTGCTCAAAGCCCCATCCAGCCTGGCCTTGAATGCTTCCAGGGAGGGGAATTCACAGCCTCACTGGGCAACCTGTTCCAGTGTCTCACCAGCCTCACAGTAAAGAATTTCTTTCTGATATCTAGTCTAAATGTCTTGTCTCCCAGTTCCTTTCATCCTGTTGCTACCTGCCTTATAAAAAGTCCCTCCCCAACTTTCCTGTAGGCCCCCTTCAGGTACAGGTAGGCTACTGTAAGGTCTTCTCAAAGCCTTCTCTACACCAGGCTGAAGAGCCCCAGCTCTCTCAGCCTGTCCTGTCTAAGAGAAGCTGTGTTCTAAGTGCCTTCAGCCAGAGAAGAGAGGGTAGTATAGGACAGATTCCTGTTTAGCTTTGACAGAAATATGGTTTTCTGGTATCTCTGACAGTTGAGCCACGTTTCTGTTTTGGAGCCATGCTCATAATCCTAGGAGCTAGATCATCTGGACTGTTGTACAATGAATTAGTTGTAAAACATAGTAAACCAACTATATTTTCATGTTATTTTTCTCACCTTACTGTGGACATCACAGCTGAAGAGGGAGCCAGTATATGAGTCAAGCTTCTGCTCTTTTGCTCAGTTTTTTGTATAACTGTGTCTATCTTTCTGAAGACTGTAGTTTAAACAAGTTCACATCTTAGTTTTCTGATTAAGGTGGTCATCTGTGTTGCCAAGAATTCTTATTGCTTAACACTTCACTTTCCAAGATGGTTGAGATTTCTTACCTTTAGACTTCAAATTCTTTAATGCTCTAGATGGTCAGACAAGTGGCAGCGCTCTCTGTTGCTCTCAGAAAAGGGCTTTTCCTTTCATACCAAATAGTTCACCATTTTTGATCGAGTTCTGCAGGTGTCTTCAAAGAATGCCATCTAGGATTTTGAAAAACAGTAAATGTAAGGACTGCTCTCTGATGCTTAGATTTGAAACTATATCATAAGGCTGCACAGTGACAGGTTTGTATTGGACTAAAATAGAATAAATCACATACTTAATGTTTTTAATAGGGCCATGAGGGATAGTCTGATGAGTATTTAGCAATGGATTCATGACATTAACATTCCATATGAATCACCAAAAGAGTTTCTGATTCACATAATATTTTCTACTTCCTGTTCTCCTTCAGAGTCTGCTAGGTGGTATATTTAGAAAGCAATTTCTTGATAAAAAGAAGAAGAGGAAGATGATGAAGATTAAATTACTAGGGCTCCTGAATAATTCCTCTAAGGTAATTGATATACTATGGTCTGCTGAATAGTTGAAAAACTAGTCCTTTTTAAAATACATATATGAATCTGAGTTTAAAACACAGCAATTCCTTTCATTTCAGGTACTAAACATGTCTTCAATTATGTTAAACTGAATGCAAGTACAAAATCTATAATTCTTCTAAAAATATTTTCATTATTATTCTTTTTTGTTGTTGTTGTTCTAGTATCTAATTACTCCTTACTCTTTTGAAAATACTTCATTTTAGCTTAGTGTATTTAGGATAAATGATCAATGATCAAAGAGGGCAGGCTTTGCTTTGTTTGTTTATAGGATCACGATTTAGAAACTAATTGATCCAAATACTGAAACATGGTTTGTGGCATTCTGTCAAACATATTGGGAGATACAATATTTTGGAAAATTGATTTAAACTACTGCAAAAAAATATTTCTTGTCATTTAAAAATACCAATTGTTATACTGATTAAAATCAGACATCCTTCTAGTGCTTGAAAGTGTCTGTATGGCAGTATTGTAATACAATATGAACTAAATCTGGTGTAGCAGGCTCAGAAGCAGGACTTCTAAATTTGCCTGGTATCACCATTCATATCATTGAGCAAGCTGTCTGACACATCTATATCTTGTTTTTCTTATCAGTAAATGAAATTACTTCTTTATCCTCATTGTAAGAGAAAAAAGCTATCAAGAGTTTTCCCCGAAGCTGAGAGAGACTATGGAAATGGGCATTATTGGGTTCCTATCTTTTTATTTTTTTTTCACTACGTAAAAGATCCAGCTACAAACAGGGCTCCTTCAAACTGAACATCTGTCCATTAAGTTTACTTTCTAAATGGAAAATGTGGAAAAATAATAGGAGACAGAAAATATTTTAATCCTTATGCACTGACACTGAATTTGGATCAAAGTCACCCAGCTGGATTAGCACTTTAAATCAGGCTCTGTATTTATTTTAAAATATGAGTGTTCAGAGGTTTAGGTGTGTGCCATTCAGGAAAAAATAAGCAAAAGAGATTTGATTGTGTGAAACATAGACGTGTTTCACTGAGTTCTTCATAAGCTCCAAAAAGAGAGGGACCATAGCTATTGCTTAGTGTGACTGTCATAACACAGCCGATACAACAGCCCCTCAATTCTCCTAGTCTTTGTGGGATGTAGCCTTACTGGAGAATTTATAGTGATAGCAGATATACTACAGTCTTTTGTTAATTTATCTTAGCATTTAATATTTCTCACTTATTAAGCTGTGTGCTATAATTCTAGTTTTAATTAGCCACAGATTTCTATATGGGTGAAAAGTCCTGCTATCATATTTTCCTTTCCAATGTAAATACTACCAAATTCTGTTACAAAGTCTTTTTCTTCAAAAAATTTTATAGAGTTAGCCACATGGCTGCTTCACTGCAGGGTAGATTTTCCATTATTTTAATCTTTCTCATGATTCTATATTAGCCTCTCATAATTGTAAAGGAATTCTATAGGGAGGTGCTAGTTCTGCTATCACCACGTCAATTCTGATGGAAACTTTCCCTCTTTACACTTTGCAATTGCTTTTTTCCCCATAATACCGATGCATTTCTCATCTAAATGCTTCAGCTTTCTTACATATCACTCATTATCTGTATTAGAAATAAGAAAATTCAGTAATATGAGTCTATCATTTTTGTCTTGGCTATGTCCATTTTTCTGGAAAGCGTATTTAATCCTTATTTAAATATCATTCTTTTTCTTTTCTGTTGTGACTGAAGGAATGTGGGTAACTGCATAATATCTGGTGCTGCAATGTAATAATTCTACAGTACCCTTGTTTTTCTTGCATCAGAGTTATATAAACAGATTTTGAGCATTTTGAGTTTAGAATAACTTTAAAAGGCTATGACTATAAAGTGCTTCACAAGCTGAAAAGTTTTCTACCAATTTAAGAAAATTGTCAGAGAAACAGCTAATTGATCACTGCTCTTTTACAGCTGTGTAATGCTAGCATAACTAAAAGCTCCAGTTAAATTAATTAATGATTTCAATTATGAACTTTTCTCCAAAATGTTATGATTCCTATCAAGTTGATAATGCAATGACCTGGGAGTGTGAAATATGTGTTATGTAGAGAGTTGCCAGTTAATTGATTCACAAATTATTTAAAGTTTGTTGCACCCAAGGGAGTGCTCAGATCCATGGCAGCTATTTCCTAAAGTGTGCAAACTCTTTTCTTTTTAAGATTGTCTATTGCTAACAAGCAGGATAAAATGCTTCTAAGCCAGAAACTGGCTGTTCATAGTGAATTAAGTGAGGTATATGAGTTATTTCTAGAGGTTTTTGCTGTTTTTTTTTTATCCTGTGTCACAGAAAATGTGTTCATGAATAAGAAACTGTACAGGTATCAATAAGAAAATGTTAATATCTTGTCCAGAAATGGATTTCTGTCTCTCTATTTATGCCATTAATTTTCTTCTGTCATTCTGAATGTTTCAGTTATTGCCTGCTATCATGTTGAGTAACACTCGTTTCCTGCTAAGGGAAATAATATTGAGAGTTTCTGAAAGAGTTTCTGATGTTTAAAACTAAGTCTATTTCATCCAGTGTTATGTATGGCAGGGGGAAGCACTTCCTACTACAGAGGAGGAATAATTTATGCCAATGTGTATTCCAGAATTGAGTGTTTTGAAATACTATATTTCATTGCATTTGTCATGCCTGTATGTGTACAGAAGCTCAAACAACAGGTTTCATTTGCGAGAGATGCTTAGAGACAAGAGGGAATGTTCAGTGTAATTCGTTCTGATTCTGACATCTTCATGCATAGGTTTCACAACAATTAAAAATTGAAATGTGCAAAGAATAATATAGAAGGAGATATTAAAATAAGTTAAAGTACTGTTAATATTTTATAAACCTTTATTAATTTTTTATAAATGTTATTAAAGTGCAGTTGGGTTGACTTCAGTGTTGTATAACATGACTGCTTTTACAGGCCCTCATCAGTGCAAGGGGCAGAAGGACTTCACATGGCTCCCTGGCTCTGGGGAGAGACCTGGGAGTTTGAGGTGTGGTAGGAAGGGTATGTCTTGCCCTGAAGTTCAGCTGCTTGCAGCATTAGCAAGAAGCAATGTTGCATAATTCTTTTGCACTGTCATTTGGGATTGTTCTTAGGTAGAAAATGATTTTAGATTCTGACACTTAAATACTGTGTCAAATGAAATCATGGTAGAAATTGGCCATGTCCATCATCTTTCTCACTCTTGGAGTATTCTGTCTCCTCAAAGATTTAGTTTTCTCAGTTATCAGACACTTTTTCTGGTTAAATTATCCTGTGCCACCTCTACTCTGTAACCAAGACAAAACAATTAAAATAAAAGTACATCTTTTGTTATGAACTAGCACATTGCTTCAGGGCCGTGAGAAACTGCCTTGAAAGGGAGTGAATATAAACTAGTATCTGTATTGTAGGAAAAAAATACCATTTCAAATACTGAGTGACTGCTTCTGTTTCCTAAAATTAAGGAGCCTATAATCTCAGCACCATTAACAAGTGCTGTCATTCAGATACACAGTGTCTGGCTGATTTAAATAAAATGAAATGAAGATAGTTGTTTCTGGTCCCTTGGCTTCACTCATTGCCATAAACATATGCTCTGCGTCCCGCTTCTTTCCATCTTATTTATGACTTTAATTTGTTGTGTGGGCTGCGCTAGAAATTAAATTTAATACAATTCTCCAAGGGACCCTGTCATATAATAACATGGTAATTTCTGTGTATCCTTTTGAAAAATGAGGAAATTAATTCTTCCTGACATGTTCTAATTATTCCAGTGTGAACGGCAAATCCGTTTTTCCCAGCCCCTGAAGTGTTATAGGCAAATGGCTGCTGTTCAAAGCTGAGGTGCTAATGCTGACCAGCAGTGCGTTTAATTTGAAACATGAGCAGACACCTTTCAACACACCTTTGTAATATTGGAGTACTTTACAGAAATTAATTCACTACTTATTTGGCAGCTTAGCCTGGGGGTTATGGTTTTTATTCATCAAAACTATAGTCATGTTAGCACAATGTTTCCTGTTTCCTCTAGTGATCTGTGGCTGTGCTGCAAAATACAAATATAGAAGGGTGCAATGGTGAGTTTTCAAGTACGTATTTCTAAAGTGGGGGTGTGGGCATCATAGCACTAATGGTTCTGTGCTATGCTCTTTTTACAGGAGAGCGGTACTATAAGGTCTTCAGTGTTGAGTTAACTATATATGGTAGTTAACACGTTCAACTGAAAAGACAGGAAAGAAATTATTTTAAACCAACTTCCTGTGAGAGAGCTCTTCTGCTCAGGTGCTTGCCTCTGTTGTGATGGTCCATAACCTGCTTCCATTTCTACTCTATTGATGAAGCCTAACTAAAACCAGGATGCATGCAATGAACTTTAAAATTCCAAGATACACTTGGTGTAGGTAGATTTTTGCTAAGGTTAAGGCAATGATTTAATCAAATGTAGGCCCTGAAATGCACACTTATGGGCATTTCTCTGGGCACTTGTGACTTTAAGTATGTCACATTCAGGAATTTCTATTTCAGTATGTTATCTTTGTGCAGGACTGCCAAGTGAAGTCCTTCAAGTCTCCCACTTCGTAATACACAAATGTCTTTGTTAAGTGTTCTTTCAGAATTCTGAGGTATGGAAATACAAAAAAATTTATATATCCCAAGAAACAGAAATTGACAAAAGGCACCAAGTAGAAGAGTCTGGAATGGCTGATACTTCACGTACAGCTTTTCAGCCATAGAGAAGAAGAGACAGAATGACAGAAGTGTCTAAAAAATTTGCTACCTGCCTAGCTAAAGGGAGAAATGGGTGACATTTTTGGAGTTGTCAGTTAAGGTAGGAAGAAGGAACTGAGATCAGTTTCTGCCAAGAGAGAGGAATGGTGCAGATGGTAGGAAGGGTGAAAGGGAACAGTGGCTGTCTGAAGTGAGAGGGAAATCTGGGAGTGAAAGC